GGGGCCCCCCCCCCCCCTAGGTAATGGGTTTGAAAGCTCCGCCTGGCCCTCTTCTCCGGGCCGGAGTGGCTGGTTGGTACCTGCCTGCTAGTGATCTTGGAGGCTGCATTTGCAAGCGCTGGTAGGAAGCCAAAGCTTGCGCACAGCCCCCTGGCTGCTCCCAGCCGAGGGAGGGAGAGGCTGCTTCCCTGAACTGTAGGCAGCCCCTGAGATTAGTAGCATGGCGCTTGGCTTGGACTGATTACAGAGTCACTGTGGAGGCCTCCAGCCAGCTCCGCAGCTGATGCAAATGGCCAATGGAGCAGCGCTGATTTACGCCAGCCAGGCACCTGGGGTCCTAGTCTAGAAACTCTGCCAAAAGCCCATTGCCCGCAGCGTGAGAGAGATCCCTCACCATCCCAAGCTCCTAGTGGTTTAGAGTCAGCATAAACCCATTTCCTGTTGTGCCATAGAACTGCTGTCCCCACCAAATGCCTGTCCTGTCTAGACGGGCCCTGGCAGCATCGGTGAAGTGGAGTTATTTTAAAGGGATTAAAATCCTTTTCTGTTTCATTTGACCTCACAGATTGAATGTCATCCCCTTTAGACCCACACAATAGCAGCCATGGGAAGGGTGTTGCTTTGCCAGCTGCCTTCAGAAGAGCTGTGTCAGAGCTTTCTATTTAGCCAGGATGTCTCACTTCCTCCCAGACACACAATACACAGAGGGAAAAAACACCTCCTCAATCATTTCCAATTGTTCCCTGGGTGGCACTGTCTGGGCAGTGTGCATGTGTCTGGAGTCTAAGCCAAGCCTGCTAGTTCTGCAGTTACTATCAAATGCCGTAGCTGTTGATTACATTTCCTATCCTTAAGTGTACCCCCCTTTTATCTGTCTTTGCTCAGTCTAGGAAGTGTCGTGCTAGAGCCGGAAGGAAGCTGCTTTTATAATGAAAACCTGTTGCTTTCCTCAAAATCTTTTGTTCAAGGATCATCAAGATCTTCTGTGTGTGACCATGGAACTCACTGCCACATGATGCCACTGAGACTAGAAACTTAACAAGATCTGAGGCTCAATTAGGCATTTACCTCAAGGGCAGGAATAATCAGAGACATTACAGTTAATGATGAAAGAAGGATATTGGAAGGGAGGTAAAACTCCCTGCTTCCGGGCTTAAAGCATTCAGGAGTTAGGATGAGACCATCATAAGGACAAATTATCTCACATCTGCTACTGCAGGGTTTCTTACCTTGTCCTCTGCAGCAGCTGGTGTTGATCCCTGTCTGATGTAGCCTGGCAATTCCATGATCCTGAAATCATTCTAAATATGAATGAATGAATCTGCTCTGGGGCAGGTTAGTATCACCGGAGTGGAAAAGTTTCTTGTGGTTAAGACACTGGTCCTGGACCAAGGTGATTAGGCATTGTTCCTTAGGTCTGTCACAGGCTCTTCATGGCTTCAGGCAAGTCATTTAATCACTCAATGCTTCGATTCCCCAGCTGCAAAACAGGGATCATAATTCTGCCTTGTCTATTTAGGTTTTAATGTCTTGGGATAGGGGCTCTCTTACAACGTGCCCAGGCACATCAATGCTGGGGGAGCTGCCCCTACAATGGCAAGGGCAGTTTTCAAAGCCCTAGCTCCTTTAAATTGCCACCAGAACCAGAGAATGACAATGTTTTAATTCTAGGAAAACGTTGGACCTCGTTCTGGGCAGAGCTGACTGATGTGTGCTGTAAAAGTCATTTTGCTGCACGTTAAGAGGGAGTTAAATTTTGTTGTGCAGGAAATGTTGGCTTGTAATTCTGACCTGGGATTAACAGACATTTCAAAATGTGATTTCCGGGGGACCAGAACCTTTGAGTTTTGATCTGCCTGAGGGACAATTGTCCCTTTTCCATGTGAGGGAGGGCAAGAAGCATTATTCCTCCATGCAGCCGTGAAACCTCAGTGAGCTAGGATCAGATAAATGGCCACTTGCCCACATTAAGTCACTATTCAGCAAGGCCACTTGACAACGCTGCATCTGGCAGCTTACAAGGGCTTCTCTAGAAGCTGATGAGACAGGCTCAGGCTCCGAAGCGTCGTCAGGAAATTCTAGCCAGAAACAGGGCATCCCTTATTATACTTAGTCATGTTCACTTTCTCAAAGGAAATAGGCTGCCATTGGTTCTTAAGCAAATGGGAACTTGAGGATATGTTTGTGAAGTAATTTTACCTGTCAGTCTCCTCCTTGGGCCCTTCTTTCTGCCCTTCCAAGGCTCTGTGATGCTGTTATTCCTCCCTGCCCCTTATTTCAGTCGGTGCTTGTGTGTCAATTCTTGCAGCGTCCAGCCAAGCCGTTCTTGCACAAGACATACAATAACATTTATTATTACCACCAGCTTAATCTTTTCCTTTTCCCTTCCAGTTTGGGTGTGTCTATTCGGACGCTACAAGCAGCTAACGCTCACGGAGTGCCGGCCCCCAGATGGGACTAGATCCAAGCTCCTCTGCTCCTTATGGGGTTGAAGGTAGACTCATGTTACCTGCTACCTAAGTTTTCTGTGGCTGTTACTATGGTGTGCGGAGATGGTCCTGTACCAGGCACCGTGTACAGACTTTCTGTTCTGAGCCGGCCCAAGTCGCACTAGCAGGAGCAAAGCTAGACACCACGCTGTGCAACGGACTCTTCCAAGCACCCTGCATTCTAGGCACTGGGAAGTTACTATGCAGCTTGGACTATTTCTGGTGGTGGTTTTTCTAAGCTTGATGGATCTAGCAGGCAGCAGCAAGGTGGTGAAGGGCAAGAGGCAAAGACGAAGTATGTATGAAATGCTTTTCTCCCCCGACTGCCTCTCGCAGTGCTGAATGTAAACTTCTGTACATAACATGCCCCCGTGGTTCGCAGGCACCCAACGGGCAGGGCTGGGGAGGAACAGTTGTCTCAGGGGAAGTAGCACAGAAGAGGGTGGCAGCATGAGATCGTTACCACTCCCAAAGCATAACAAATCCCACAAGGATTCTGGCCTGCAGGATCAATCCCTTTTCCTTGCTCTCAGGAACAGAATATTTCTAAGGATCTCCAGTTTGCTTCTGCTGCACACAACAGTTCCCTAGTCAGGGGTGCCATTTCAGATTTTGGTAGGGGAGGGCAACCTGTGCATGCCATGATGGAGGGGAAGAGAGTGATAACATGGGGGAATGGACTAAGGACAGGGGCTTCAGCAGTGTTACTGAGCCAAGCAACAAATGGGGGTGAGGAGCAATCCCATCCACTCATCTCTCCCCCAACACACATCACCAGGGGCTTCTACGGCACTGGAAAACTCTACTTTTTTGGCAGATGACTTAGGAGTTAGCTGATATGAGCACTGTATCTAATTCCTATACAAAAGAAATAAAAATAAATACAAATTAGACCCACTCAGCTCTACTCTGACATCTTGTGGTAAATCACTTAAGGGACACTGGCTAGCCTTAAAATGTTTGGCTGTGTCTAGATTGGCATGATTTTCCAGAAATGCTTTTAACGGAAAAGTTTTCCGTTAAAAGCATTTTCGGAAAAGAGCATCTAGATTGGCACGGACACTTTTCCGCAAAAGCACTTTTTGCGGAAAAGCGTCCGTGCCAATCTAGACGCGCTTTTCCGCAAAAAAGCCCCGATCGCCATTTTCGCGATCGGGGCTTTTTTGCGGAAAACAAATCTGAGCTGTCTACATTGGCCCTTTTGTGCAAAAGGGACTTTTGCCTGAACGGGAGCAGAATAGTATTTCCGCAAGAAGCACTGATTTCAGGCAGTAGGAAGTCAGTGCTTTTGCGGAAATTCAAGCGGCCAGTATAGACAGCTGGCAAGTTTTTCTGGAAAAGAGGCTGATTTTCCAGAAAAACTGGCCAGTCTAGACACAGCCAGCATGTATATTCTTACTTGTTACTAACTCTGTGGAGACCTTCAAACCCTGTCAGGATTCCTGGGTGCTCTCACAGCTCTGGAAGGGGTGGAGGGTCTAGTGGGTTACAGCAGTGGGCAGATACATTTCAGCTTTATATAAGAACATCAGAAAGGCCATACGGTGTCAGACCAATGCTCTTTCTAGCCCAGTATCCTGTCTGTCAACAGTGGCCAATGCCAGGTGCTTCAGAAGGAATAAACAGAAGAGGTAATCATCATGATCCGTCCCCTGTCATGCATTCCCAGCTTCTGGCAAACAGAAGCTAGGAACATCATCCCTGCCCATCCTGGCTAGAAGCCACTGTGGACCTAGCCTCCCTGAACTTATTTTGTTCTTATTGTTATAGTTTGGACCTTTCCACCATCTCCTGGCAAAGAGTTCCACAAGTTGACTGTGCAAAAGTTATTCTGTTTGTTTTAAATCTGCTGCCTATGAATTGAATTGGATCAGCTTCATGTGTTATATTAGTGAAGGAATGAATAACATTTCCTTATTCTATGTTTCCACACCATTCCTTATTTTCTACACCTCTAACATATCTCCCCACCCTTTAGTCATTTCTTTTCCAAGCTGAAAAGTCCCAGTCTTGTTAATCTCTCCATGTGGAAGCTGTTCCTTACCCCTAATCATTTCTGTTGCCCTTTCTGTACCTTTTCCAAATACATCTCTTTTTAGATGAAGTGACAGATCCGCATACAGTATTCAAGATGCGGGCATACCATGACTTTATATAGAGGCAGTATGGTATTTCCTATCTTATCTGTTCCTTTCCTAATGACTTCCAACATTGTTAGCATTTTTAGTTTTTAAAATGGCCACTGCACACTGAACAGATGTTTTCAGGGAACTATCTACAATGATTCCAAGATCTTTTTCTTGATGGCAACAGCTATTTTAGACCCACCATTTGTGTAACTACCGTTAGGATTATATTTTTCCATGTGCATTACTTTGCACTTATCAACTCTGAATTCTGTCTGCCCTTGTGTTGCCACGTGCCTGGTTTTGTGAGATCCCTTTGTAGCTCTTTGCAGTCAACTTTGGACTCGTTACTATTTACTCCTTTTTCAAGAACATTTATAAGTTTAACAGCTGTGGTCCAAATGCAGATCCCAGCAACACACTCATTCCAATTCTCCCCCCCCCCATCTTTTAAGTCAGGAGTGGGGAACCTCCGGCCCAGGGGCCGGATGCTGCCCACGGCTTGCCTAGATCTGGTCCCTGAGGCTCAGCACTAGGGCTCCAGCCCCCCTGCCACCCACCCGCAGGGCTGGGGCATCACAAAATCTACCAGCTTGAACCCCACAGGCTCTGGTGTGCAAGGGGAATATGGGGAGTGTCTTTCTCCTTCTCAGCCAGGGGCTGCTCGCGTTGCTTCTCATTTATGTGCAGCCCCCAACTGGTTTTTTTATGGATCAGTGGCCCCTGACCCAAAAAAGGTTCCCCACCTCTGTTTCAAGTGGAGTACCCAGCAATGCTTTAATGATGATCTAACAATCCTTCAACAACTTGACTGCCCAGCCTGTTGTTATTCTGAATCCCTTGCCTCCCTGGCTACGTCTACATTGGCAAGATTTGGCGCAAATACTTTTCACAAGAGTTTTTGCGTTAAAGTATTCACGCAAGAGAGCGTCTACACTGGCACGTGCCTTTGCACAAGAGATGTGCTTTTGCACAAAAGCATCCATGCCAGTGTAGACGCTGTCTTGCTCAAGAAAGCTCCGATGGCCATTTTAGCCATCGTGCTTTCTTGCGCAAGAAATTAACGTTGCCTGTCTACACTGGCCTCTTGCGCAGAAACACTTGCACAAGAGGGCTTATTCCTGAGCGGCAGCATCATAGTTCTTGTGCAAGAAGCACAGATTTCTTACGTTAGAATGTCAGTGTTGTTGCGCAAGAACTCACGGCCAGTGTAGACAGGTGGCAAGTTTTTGCACAAAAGCAACTAACTGCTTTTGCACAAAATCTTGCCAATGTAGACACAGCCCCTCTGTTTGTAACAAACTCCCTGCCCCAAAGTCAAAGGTGCAAGCAGCTCAAACTCTGCTGCAGTTAAGAGCTGCCTCTGGAGTCAGGGCACAGGCTTTGAGAAGATCTCAAGTATGAAATCCAGGTATTCAAACTTTAGGAGCAGCAACTGCCTCCCTAGCCCCCCCATAAACAGCACCCTTGTCCCCAGTCCCTTACTGAGAACAGAACAGGAGCTGGTTCCTCCAGCCTGTCCCTGCCAGGGACAGCACAGTCTTGTGCCCCCCCCCTTCCAAGTTGCCCCCTAGCTCAAGGGAGGCCTATTGGGCTCCACTCTTCCTCCACCACAGAAGTGATGCAGTGGTAACAACCTGCAGGCCAGTTCCAGATTTCTACTAAGAAACCTGCACTCGGGGGTCAGGGAGAGGCTGTGGCAGCTATAGCCATGTGCCAAAGAGGTCAGCAGCACAACACAGGCACTTGGCTTTATATAGGGAGAGAAGTCACAGAAGCTGCAGGTGTACCAGGAAAATTCACTGTGCCCAGGACTGGTGAGTTCAGCACAGAAACTGAAAAGGGAGGTGCCCCTCTACTCTTTGCACTAGGAATTACGAGAAGCTCAAGCCCTGAGCCCCTTTCTAACAAAGCACACACGCTCTGAGCTAGTGACTAAACTTTGCAGATGCACTGGTAACTCAAAGCTACAACCACCTGCATTTCAACCTAAAGTGCTTGCCTCAGACTAGCAGAGCCCAGGGATGCCGGCCACTACTAACCCTCTGCTCCAGGTCCTTCCTGTAAATCTATTCCCCTCCCCCTTCCTCCTCTCAAGACCAACAAGTTACACCACGTCCTCTTTATAGCCCAGTGAAAATCAATTGAGCCCACCTGCCAGCATGACTCAGCAGTAATTACCCTGCCTTTCAAGGGGGTGTTAAAAGCTGGGCCTCCTTGTGCTGGGTGGGGGGTGGCTGTCTTGCCTATAGGCTTGGAGGACTGCTATGTGTGTAGCCTTCATGGAAATAACAAAGAGGTTCACTCCAAGCCCAGGTAGTTATTTTAGAGCAAGTCAGTGTGGAGCATGCAAAGGGGCTGCTGTTTGATGTAGCTGGTCTTGGTTCTTGCTTTGCAGCCTACTCTCTTCCCAAAGTGGCTCCAGTTTAATGAACTGGGCATTTTAAACTGAGGTTTTGACATGGGTGCTCCTTTCTGTATGAGTGCTCTTAGATGACTTCAGCAGCACCAGGGAATAGGCAGGTGCAAGTTAACTCTGTCTCCAGTTTTGAATGGAAAGAAGAGCTTCTATGCAGGGGTATGCACAGAGTTAACCATGCTGGCTTTTCAACTGATTTAAGTTAAACTGGCACAATTAGCTTGTGTCTGTGAACCCTGGGTTGCTTTCAGCATTGCTTGCTATGAGGGAAAAGTGCTTGTGTGGTTAATGTTACAAATTACAAATGGGTCTCAATTATATACTTCAGGTAGGAATAAGAGATCCTCTGGAAAAGGGCTTTATTCTGGAGGATCGTGCCAGTCTGGATGCTCTTTTCCGGCTTTTCCCCAAGCTGGAAAAAAAGTGGTGGCCATGTTTATTTAAATCCCGTGGGGAATAT